GCACAGAAAGTACACAGTACACACACATAATTCTTGCTCTTCATTGCTTGTGAGCAACAAAATGTTTGAATAATTATTGCAAGCGCACTCCATTCTTGTTTCTTTCATCATTAATATTTTCAACAAAGTCTTTAACCCAAAAATCAGAACGAAAAACATGTTTGGAGCTGAAAGTGTAACAGCCTCATGGATAGGGCTCAGTTCTCGTTTTGGGTCTCCAAATCTGTCAGATTCTTGAAAAACAAAGCCAAAGAACAACAACAACACAACATTAATGCAAGCATTCACAACAAAAGACATCATTTTGACGAGCTAATGCTGTTCAACAACTCTGTTTATTGCGCCTCGCCTAATTTGCCGGAGGCCCAGATGGCGGATAACGGCGGCGACGTGTCCGGTGAGGGTAAAGATGGGAGTTTTAGCGAAAGCGAGGGTAAATTTGGAAATGTTGTTGCTGGTTTGGGTGAAGAGGAGGAAGAGAGTGGAGAAAGCCGCTTGAGCTCTGATTTTCTGGCTTCTGAGAGTAATTTGAATTGTGAGGTTGAAAATAGCAGCTCTGAGGGCTCTTCATCTTCACCCCCTTCAATGGCGGCTTGGGCAATGGGGAAAGAGAAATTGCCCTTTTGTGATAATTCCGAGGTTTGTGAGGAGATTGAGGAGAAACATTTGGACAAGAGGAGATTAGACAAGCAAAGCTCGAGTCTTTCAGGTATAAAGTTATGTTCTTTGATAGTGTTCTGTGGTTTATTTTGCAGGTGGCCTGTGAAATTTCTCAAAATCAACACTTTTTTTGAGTTTTTTATGTGAAGGGGTGAAAAATATGAAGTTTTTGCTTTGTGGGCTAGCCTTAAAAGACATTATAGTTTGGGGGCAATGTGAAAATTAACCATTCTTTTGCATGTCATGGGGGGGTGCAAATGATAAATATCAAGTTTTTGTTTGGTGGGCAAGCCTCAAAAGGCAGTGTATTGTCTGTGGAGGCAAATTGAAATTAACCATTTTTATTGTGTTTTAAAAAAAAAAAAAAAATAGAAATTGAGATGATGAAAGAAAGATTTTCGAAGTTGCTGCTCGGCGAGGACATGTCCGGTTCAGGCAATGGTGTTTCGACTGCTTTAGCTCTGTCGAATGCTATCACCAATCTTTGTGGTGAGTAAGTTTGAATAGTTAATGAAGTTGTTTTGTGTTTTTTGATTTTTTTTTTTGGTTTCATTAGTTAAATCAAATCAAATGCTTTTTTTGGGTTGATTTTCTGATTCTTGTTCATTGTGCTTTATATTCCATTTAGCTACACTGTTTGGACAGATTTGGAGGTTAGAGCCTCTGCAGCCCCAAAAGAAACTAATGTGGCGTCGAGAGATGGATTTGCTATTGTGCGTTAGTGATCACATTGTCGAGTTAATTCCCTCTTGGCAAACATTTCCCGACGGGAGCAAATTAGAGGTGAAAAAATTTATCTCTCAATGTAGCTAATGAATAATCCCCGAGTCGAACAATTTTGAATTCAATCAATAATTCTCTATATTCATGTGACATTCGGATCGAAAAGTTTGTTGGAATCAATATTTAGAAATGTTTTCCTATCTAAAATGCGATTTGATTAGTCAGCTTCATTCGAGTTTTCTTGATTCAGGTCATGATTCAGGTCATTAGTTCTCTATATTCATGTGACATTCGACCGAAAAGTTTATTGGAATAAATATTTAGAAATGTTTTCCAATCTAAAATGTGAATTGATTAGTCAGCTTAAGTTCAAAATTCAAATTTCATTCGAGTTTTCTTGATTCAGGTCATGACTTCAAGGCCTCGATCGGATTTGTATGTAAACCTACCCGCATTGCGAAAACTTGATAATATGTTACTCGTAAGACTCTAAAATTCAATTTCCAGTTCACTTCGGCTTTATATTTTTCCTTCGTAATTCCCCATTGCTTAATCTATTTTTCTTGCTCGGCATTTCATGAAAGGAAATATTGGACAGCTTCAAGAATACGGAGTTTTGGTACGTTGACCAGGGGATATTAGCTCCCGATGATGCAGATGGCTCGAGATCCTTCCGGAAACTTCTTCCTCCACATCAAGAGGATAAATGGTGGCTCCCCGTCCCGCGTGTCCCGCCAGGTGGCCTCACCGAAAACTCTAGAAAGATGCTTCAGCACAAGCGTGAATGCACAAACCAAATCCTTAAAGCTGCAATGGCTATTAATAGCTCTGTTTTATCCGAAATGGATATACCCGATTCGTATTTAGAAGCTCTCCCTAAGGTGATTAATTACTAGCTTTTGATAGGTTTATGATCCGAGTAAAATTTACTAACTCTTTTTTTTTTTGTGTGTGTGTGTGTGCATGAAGAATGGAAAAGCGAGTTTGGGTGATCTTATCCACCGATACATAAACTCGGACCGATTTTCGCCTGAGTGTTTGCTCGACTGTCTCGATTTGTCCTCCGAACATCAAGCATTGGAAATCGCGAACCGAGCAGAGGCTGCAATTCACGTGTGGCGTCGGCGAACAAACTCGAGGCCTTCTTTACCGAGCATCAATCGGTCTAATTCAAGGTCTTCGTGGGAAATTGTGAAGGATTTGGTTAGTGATTTGGATAAAAGAGAGTTCTTGGCTGGTCGGGCCGAGACATTACTTCTTTGCATCAAACAGCGTTTTCCCGGTTTGCCTCAGACCACGTTAGACACGAGCAAAATCCAATCGAACAAGGTTTGTACATTTTTTTTTCAAGTATTTATCATATTCGAAACGAAAAAAGAGAAATTTTTTAAAAAAGGCGCTACCTTTCGAATATATACCAAATTGTTTCGACTTGTTTGTTCGGAAACCAATGTTGCAAACAAGTGCTTGCTCCTCTTTCAGTTAGACAGAGCAAAATCCGATCCAACAAGGTTTGTATGTAGATTGTACTAAAAATCATATCACTTTGTCCTGTTTTCGGATATTTTTTTATCATATTCGAAACGGAAAGAAGAGGAAAAATTAAAAAAAGTCACTACCTTTCGAATACCAAATTTTTTCGACTCGTTTGTTCTGAACCAATGTTGCAAAATCCAATCGAACAAGGTTTGTACATTGTACTAAATATCATATCACTTTGTCCTGTTTTCGGGCATTTTTATCACATTCGAAACGAAAAAAAAAAGTGAAAAAAAAAAGTTGCTACCTTTCGAATATATACCAAATTGTTTCGACTCGTTTGTTCTGAAACCAATGTTGCAAACACAAATTGCTCCTCTCGTTTTCTCAGGACGTTGGAAAATCCTTGCTCGAGAGCTACTCGAGAGTTCTCGAGAGCCTAGCCTTCAACATAATGGCCCGAATAGATGACCTCATTTACGTCGATGACCTGTCCAAGCACTCGGGCCAGCTCGTCTCGATCTCCAAAGTCGGCGTGATACCTCACGTGGGCCCCACAGCTGGCGGCACGCCTTACAAGACAGCTTTTGGGACTCCCGAGTTTTCACCTTCGCCGTTGATTGTCAGCCCAGCAAAGGCTTACGGGTTGTTATCTCCGTATAGTTCCCAAAGTGGGAAGAAGCATTCGGTTCTTGGTTTGGGAGTGAAGCGTATTTTGACGGATTATTTGAGTAGTGATAATGGGAAAGCAAAGGATTTTGGAAGCTCACGTTCGGGTGGTGAGGCTCGAGTGATATCCACACGTTTTTCGCGCGAGTTTTCTGTGGATTCGGATGAGGCTAACAGTTAAGATGAATGAATATGATCATTTTTTTTTTTTTTTTTT